ACCATAACTTTTGTTTTTGAAGTATTAAGAACCAATTTCCATTTATCACAATACGCTGCATAAACATTTAGAGCGACTTGTAGATCTTCAGCAGATTCTGACAAAATAACAGTGTCATCTGCATACAATAAAATAAAAAGTTTTAAAAAGTACATAACATTTCCATCAAAATCATGATTATAGCAATTGACGCCTTCGACTAGAAGTTATACTTGTTTTTCTATGTATTAACAATAATTAAGATAGTTAAAATGTACCTGAGGCCTCGAGGTTATAAGTTTTTTTTTTTTAAGAGTTCCACAGTCTTTAGGTAGGTCAATATACATTCTGTGTTGGTTTTTCTAAGCAATCAAATACCATGAGATCTTAACTTGAGTACATTTATAGAAAATTTCTTTATAACCCTTTGACCTATGTTTCGATAATAATTATCAGAAGATTTTTATGCAAAGGCCATTACTGAATGACTCACATAATACTTAAAATAATTAACTGGCTGTTGAAGTGAATTGGTCTACAATGGGCACATTTTCCAGAATTATTTAAAATATTGAGAAAAATATTAGAAATGTATAATTTTTAGCTCGCATAATAGGACTCTCTCCAAGTTCTATAATATGGATTAAAAAAAAAAAATTTGGCCCTTTTGTGAACTTACAAAATTTTACATTATCAAAGCTCTATTACTATCAAGCACTTAGAATAGTGGAGCATGCGGTCCTAATGACAGCTCTTGTTATATTTTATTTGAAATGTAAATTCTTGAAAAAATGGTGATAAGAATTTTTAGTGATTTAAAGTAAACTTTAATTATGATGAATAATAGTATTTTGTTTAGAACAATTTACAGTCTGACCCCGGTTATTGGACAACCCTTTATTCAAATACCCGGCATTATCCGAAGTAGTTCGCCGGTCCCGTTTTAATCTCTATATAAAACAATATAAATACGACAGTATTATTCGAAATGCATTATCCGAATACCTCCTATTTTTCGAAGTAAAATTTCGGTCCCGATTATACAATTACGAAAGAATTTCACACCTATTATTCGAAGCCAGCCTAATTATTATTCGAAGCCAGACTAATTGACGCAGATCCACTCGCTGACCAGTCGACTTGTGAAAAATATCCACAGTCATGCGTGTAATTAGACAATCATGATAATAACTCTTTGTGTATTCTTTAATCAACTTTAATTAACGAAAATGAAAAGCTATGCACCGTGTCCGATTTTGTTTAAGATGACAGCAATAATTTTTAAACATTCCGTATATGTGAATTTGTCAAAACATCCAAAAGATTTTTTTCATTAATTGTAACGCTACATGAGAGCCTTAATTTATCCTAATCGAAAATACCAGAGTTTAGCTGTAAAAACCGTAGTGACGACACGGCCATTATCAAGGCTTTACGCGAAACGAAACGATACATAATGTAGAATAAAATGCAAGTATTTATGTCTTCAATGTCAATACAATAATTTTTACGCATCTTTTCTTTAATATCTATTTTTCTCAATTGATTACAGGAAGCAAGTGTGTTGTAAACGGTAGTTTTGTGGTGATTGGTCAAAGTGGAGTAGTTTTCGTCTATCACAATATTCCGATTTCGATTATTCGAACCCATCGATTATTCGAAGTAAATATTCAGTCCCAGGCACTTCGAATAAACGGGGTTAGACTGTATTATCTTCCATTTATAGATAAGCAATACCAGATCATGTATCTCACACCAATAACATTCACATAATTATAATTCTACCATGGTTTGGTCACACATGTAATACTATCAATATAAATTTTTATGGTACAACAGACCTTAGATGATGGACTAATTCTATTTAAGGTCAGAGTCATTACCAACATGCCCACATGTACCTGAAGTATTATGTTCAATACTTGAGTGTGAGTAGACAGAGTTGAAATGTCAATCACTGAATGTTAGATAAGTCTTTCCAATGAATGTGAAGTGATGCTGGACTGATTCAGATCAGCAAATACCTGAGCTTGTTGTAAATTTGATGAAAATGTTTCTTTACAGAATAACAAATAATTTCTGTACTCATAAATAATGTATGGCTTAATATGATACATTTGGTTTCATATTTAATTGCCTTAATTGATGGAAAAAAAGTCATACACAGTGAGGGTATTCAATACAATGCTGACAGAACAATTTGATACATGGATTTTCTTTTGTCTGCTTTATTGAATCTGTTCCTATCAGCTGTGTCAGTTATCAAATTGCAGATTATTTCCTTTGACTGAGAAAGATAACTGTATCAGTACAGGAGACATTTCGTTAATAGGTCTGTGTCATGCTTAAAAGACCTATCCTGTGACAAATTTCCCTATTGTGATTCTTTTAGTCATGCAATTGTAAAATGTTCTCTATGAAGTAAAACTTTAAACACTGCCCCTGTGGTAATTGGATTCAAGGAAATTAGCAGAATGATGTCCCTGTGGTCATTATTAGATTCATTGGAATGGGCAGTTTTGTCCAGTCTCTGTGGTTATTATTGGATTCAAGGGAATGGGCAGTTGTGTCCTGTCAATGTGGTTATTATTGGATTCAAGGGAATGAGCAGTTTTGTCCTGCATCTGTGGTCATTATTGGATTCAAGGGAATGGGAAGTTGTATCTTGTCTCTGTGGTCATTATTGGATTCAAGGGAATGGACAGTTGTGTCTTGTCTCTGTGGTCATTATTGGATTCAAGGGAATGAGCAGTTTTGTCCTGCATCTGTGGTCATTATTGGATTCAAGGGAATGGGAAGTTGTATCTTGTCTCTGTGGTCATTATTGGATTCAAGGGAATGGACAGTTGTGTCTTGTCTCTGTGGTCATTATTGGATTCAAGGAAATAGACAGTTGTATCCTGTCTCTGTTGTCATTATTGGATTCAAGGGAATGTGCAGTTGTGTCTTGTCTCTGTGGTCATTATTGGATTCAAGGGAATGGACAGTTGTGTCTTGTCTCTGTGGTCATTATTGGATTCAAGGGAATAGACAGTTGTGTCTTGCCTCTGTGGTTATTATTGGATTCAAGGGAATGTGCAGTTGTGTCTTGTCTCTGTGGTCATTATTGGATTCAAGGGAATGGACAGTTGTGTCTTGTCTCTGTGGTCATTATTGGATTCAAGGGAATGGACAGTTGTGTCTTGTCTCTGTGGTCATTATTGGATTCAAGGGAATGGGCAGTTGTGTCTTGTCTCTGTGGTCATTATTGGATTCAAGGGAATAGACAGTTGTGTCTTGTCTCTGTGGTTATTATTGGATTCAAGGGAATGGGCAGTTGTGTCTTGTCTCTGTGGTCATTATTGGATTCAAGGGAATAGACAGTTGTGTCCTGTCTCTGTGGTTATTATTGGATTCAAGGGAATGGACAGTTTTTGTCCTGCCTCTGTGGTTATTATTGGATTCAAGGGAATGGGCAGTTGTGTCCTGCCTCTGTGGTTATTATTGGATTCAAGGGAATGGACAGTTTTTTCCTGCCTCTGTGGTTATTATTTGATTCAAGGGAATGGGCAGTTGTGTCTTGTCTCTGTGGTCATTATTGGATTCAAGGGAATGTGCAGTTGTGTCTTGTCTCTGTGGTTATTATTGGATTCAAGGGAATGGGCAGTTGTGTCCTGCCTCTGTGGTTATTATTGGATTCAAGGGAATGGACAGTTGTGTCTTGTCTCTGTGGTCATTATTGGATTCAAGGAAATAGACAGTTGTATCCTGTCTCTGTTGTCATTATTGGATTCAAGGGAATGGGCAGTTGTGTCCTGCCTCTGTGGTTATTATTGGATTCAAGGGAATCGGCAGTTGTGTCTTGTCTCTGTGGTCATTATTGGATTCAAGGGAATGTGCAGTTGTGTCCTGTCTCTGTGGTTATTATTGGATTCAAGGGAATGGGCAGTTGTGTCCTGTCTTTGTGGTCATTATTGGATTCAAGGAATGGGCAGTTGTGTCTTGTCTCTGTGGTCATATTTGGATTCAAGGGAATGAGCAGAGCACTGTCCCTGTGGTCATTATTGGATTCAAGGGAATGGGCAGTTGTGTCCTGTCTCTGTGGTTATTATTGGATTCAAGGGAATGGACAGTTGTGTCTTGTCTCTGTGGTCATTATTGGATTCAAGGGAATGGGCAGTTGTGTCTTGTCTCTGTGGTCATTATTGGATTCAAGGGAATGGGCAGTTGTGTCTTGTCTCTGTGGTCATTATTGGATTCAAGGGAATAGACAGTTGTGTCTTGTCTCTGTGGTCATTATTGGATTCAAGGGAATGGACAGTTGTATCCTGTCTCTGTGGTCATTATTGGATTCAAGGGAATGGACAGTTGTGTCTTGTCTCTGTGGTCATTATTGGATTCAAGGGAATGGACAGTTGTGTCTTGTCTCTGTGGTTATTATTGGATTCAAGGGAATGGGCAGTTGTGTCCTGCCTCTGTGGTTATTATTGGATTCAAGGGAATGGGCAGCTGTGTCCTGTCTCTGTGGTCATTATTGGATTCAAGGGAATGGGCAGTTGTGTCTTGTCTCTGTGGTCATTTTTGGATTCATTGGAATGGGCAGTTGTGTCTTGTCTCTGTGGTCATTTTTGGATTCAAGGGAATGAGCAGAGCACTGTCCCTGTGGTCATCGGATTCAAGGGAATGAGCAGCCTTGTCCTGCCTCTCTGGTTATTGGATTCAAAGTAATTATCAGAGCACAAATCCTTTGTGTACATTGTGTTCAAAGTAATTGAGCAATGTCTCAATGTGGTGATTGTGTTCAAATGAATTAATGTTAGAATTTTCTGTCTTATGTTTGTTTTAATAAAACCATAAACAGTTACTCAGAAGCCAAATATTCTGCTTGGTTACAATTAGCAGACAATGACAGATTATGAAATAAAGCTGCTGTCTTAAAAAAAGTTAATTTGATATGATTATTGTATTGTGAGAGGTTTCAGTTAAAAAGAATCACTATGATAGGACATAATTGATATTTGATATTTGTCTTCTATTTTCAGATGTGTATATTTTTGTCAGCCAATTAATTTTGAAACCTTTACATCATGTAGATACAAGGTATGTATAAATCTTTTCACAATAATTTGTTAATGTAGGTACAATTCCTGCTGTTTGAAATGAGTTACAAGAAATGCATTTGACACCTTATAAGCCATTCTTTTCTATCAGAATTTATCTGATTTTATTATTATGTTTAGGTTGATGACAAACCTTGTTGTTGAACTGCTTATTTATTGTTATTTATTGATAATTATTATATTATTGATATTTATATTTATTATTTATTGTGACCATAATGCACATCAAAATCAGCTGGCATATCACAGCTGTCTGCACTGTTCATTGTTGGTTTTGTCCAAATTGCAAAATGGACATTAAAGTCCACAGTGAAGAAGACTAGTTTGTTTAAATAAAATGCCTTTAATATTTGTAACAGAGAGGGAATATTTTAGTTTTTTGTCTTGATCTGATTGCAGGCACTATACAAAAGCCCATACGTTCTTATCAACCATATATATTTATGACAGATTAATTCAGTTTGACATAACTGTTAAATAAGGCAATTTGACAGAAATATTATGACATATTTGTCACCAGGGACTCTCTTACTAATGGAATTTTCAAACAGATACCAGTGACATATGCTTTTAACCTTCATGCCATGACACCACTGCTTGCCATTTGTAAGTTTTTGCCAATTAAATAATTGTGATATAGAGCTGAAATTAAATAAATATTTGTACATTAGAAAATATGGCAAGACACATGATATAATGTAAGAATTTGTCTATTTAGAATTGACAAACTTTGTAGTTCTGAAAAGATAATAATTATCCCATCCCTGAATTTGTGTATGACAGATTTGTTAAATTAATAAGTGAAAACCTTTATAACTGTCTGATTGTGTATTGACTTACAATTCATTAAATAGTTTTATAACTATTGTGGTTTTGATGTTTCTGCTCACTTGTGTCTCTAGAATTCATGAAATTATTTGATATTACCATTTTTTGTTGAGATTGTCTGGTTATATCAGATTTTAATAGAACTTTGAAGTCTTTTTGTGGTAAATGATTATGATATGGCTAAAATGTTTTGTGTTGCCAGCTGAGACTGTGAAAGTCCTTGATAGGGCAAATATAAATCCTGCTGTTTTTGTTGGTTTTATGTTACTAATACTCTGTAAAGATCATAATTTTATGATGATTTTCTAGCTTTTTTATTGGAGAAAGATCTACCATGGCTTGAGTTACAGCCCTTATTGTAGAATTACATTCTGTATATACAAACATGTAGCTAAATAATTGTTATATATATTCCAATGTTAAGTGACAGACATGTTTAAGTTATGCTAACTAGTCAACAGTAACCACTGCTCATTTACTTAATTTCCATGCCTTAGACTTCTAGATTTTGTAAAATCCAAACCTTGTGGCACTAGGGACAATGAGATGTTTGAGTCACAGCTAAAAGCTTAGTATAATTGCACTCTTTAAATTGGACATACCACTGGCCATTTCGGTGCCTAAACTGCCACAATTTGCCCTATAGCAGCATGGGGACTGATTGAAGATTAAAACTTGGGGATATTTGTACTTTTAACACCTACCCATCTTTTGCATCAGAAGGGCATTAAGTCTTTCTATCAAGTCAATAAATTGTCTATTTCTGTACCAGCCTGTAGACTTATTATGTAATTCCTTGTTCACAGGAATTTTTCTTAAGAAATGTGATGGCATGAAATCATGACACTAGTATTTATGGTATAAAAGGCAATATTAATATTTTGAGAAAGCGTGGGTATCATTTATTGTTTTGCTTGATTAATTGTTATTCTGTTGACAGTTTTCTATGATTCTGCAAGCTGATATATCGGTCATTTCTAAAAAAAAAAAATAAATTAACAAGAAAATTTATTTAATGACCATGTTTTGTATTTTATGCTCTATAGTGAGGAATATTAGTTTCTTCATTTATCATATCGTGTCTCTAAAGTATTGTCAGTTTTGTAATTGTTATATTTGAAGATAGTTGTGAGATGGGTTATATTGAATTATTCTTGTCCCTAAGTTTGATCTTTGTAAGACATCCACCAATAATGTACATCTAGTTCCTTTTTGCATTCATTTATAGATTACCTTTGTTATATCAGTCTGTCTTGTTTTAATTGAAAAAAAAAGAAATGTCTATTTTTATGCCAGGATGGGTGGGGATAAGATTTGTCCTTGCCCATCTGTCATGCCGTCATTGGACTGTGGGGGTATCTCTGTTCCATGGACACATTTCTCAGGTTCTTTGTGCTATCAAAATTAAATTTCTGTACCAAGAAATTATCTGTTTATTAACTGACTTAATTTTATATTTCCAGACTTAAAAATAAGACTTAAAGATACCAAATCTTGTCATGTAGAAACTTTTATAAGCTTCAATATTTATCTAGTCAGTTAAATAACCCAGTATGTATTTTATTACCATATTGGGAGTTTGGATGTCTGATTATATCAGACCATATTGGTGTAACTTACAGATTTCTATGATGTTAAACAGTGTAAATATAAATAAGCCTCGAAATCTCCAAGTGTTAAAAGAATTTCTTGGTCTTGAGCACAAAAAAGTTCACACTGAATGAATGTAACCATAAAAACTTGCCAAATTTCTGTAACTGAGTTGTTCTGTTTATGAATTGTTGGAACTGACCATTAGAAGTTTAACCCTTGACCAGCTAAAATTTAAATAGCTCAAAAAAAAGGTCATAATTAAGATGTTTACATTTCTCTTTATAACACCTGACTAAGGTCTTTGACATTTGTTTTACAGATAGATGTGACAAGGTTTAAATGAATGGTTAAATAAATGCTATTGAAGTCAGTTAATACAAAATAGACTCAGAAAATTTCAAATTTATGTTTTTTCATTGGATGAAAAAGTAGGGCAAAGACTAAAGCAAATGTGACTTGTATTATGTAACAGGAAGACAGTCTGGCCTACCAGCTGTCATATATATAATTATATATACTTTGTCTATATCAGTGTCTACTTACATAGATGGCTTATTTAAGTGTACTCAGGCTCTTACATGAACAAAACAAGAATCTAAATGAGGAGTAACATAAATCATTCATGTTTGCTTAAATAAATGAACATGATTATCAATTAGTGATGATAATTACAAATGATATTTCACTGGTGAAATTTTTTTAAATGTTTAGTATTTTATATGATTTCATACTGATTGGCCAATTACAGACTTTTAGCAAAATTTTACCTATCAAAGACCAGTAGCCCTTAGGCTTGGGTTATATTAAGCATACAGCTGTTAATACTGCAACATATAGGGTTAGATGTACATGTATATATTGTTTTATCATTGTTCTGCTTAAGTAAAAAGAAAATAAATTCTTATTCTACAAGGTCACCGTCTGATTACAATTTGTAATCAGATATGGCCTGGTCAAAACTTATGATTCAGGCCAGGTTGCAAAGTCGCAAACCCAGGTTATAGTATGGTGAATTCTCTTTGTTTCATAAGCATATGTTATAATGGAAATATATATCAATTTTTCTTGCATTATGTTATAATAATATTGACCAATTACTTGGGCCTATCAACCTTCATGATAATATTCCTGCACATTTAAACTCAAACTTACATTATACATTAAGGCACAAAAAATTGTCCTAATTATCAGAATACATTGATCTTAAAGTGAATTGGTCAATAGTGGGCACATTTTTCATATATATTTCAAATATTGATAAAAACAATAGAAATGTATCATTTAGATATTTTATAGAACATTTCTATAAAACCTTCCATTAAGGACCAATTCACTTTAAACTATGGATTCTAATGCCATAATCTGCACTTTAACAAGATCCAGTATGCTATCTTGGCCTTAAACAATCCACATAAGCTTATTATATTAATATGAAGAGATATACTGTAAGTTAAAGATACCAGGTTGGTCTTTGACTTGTATTTGACACTCAACGAATTTGACTCAGTTTTATTTCAAAATTCCCTGTACTGTCTAATGTGATCTTGGTAAAGATTATAGACTTCTCTAGCTCACGTTCAAATTCCCAATTAAGAAACTCTTATAACAAACTTATTTTATCATTATATGATAGGTATTAAATTATGATAACCATCATTTATGATGCAGACACTTTTATTTATAATATAAACTGTTTGAAATGATTTATAATTTCAAGAATCTGTAATGTTATTCTTGGCAAATCTTGACAGAATTTCAAACTTTGATCATCGGGGAAAATCTTTGATGGTTTATATTTTACTGCAGTGATCCTGCTGTTTGATGAATCCGAATGTGTTTTGTTTCAAAAATATTTTACTGAGGTAGCATGTCAAAATATTAAAGTGATAAAATCTTGAGTTTATCTAAACGCTGTGTAATTACTTCAGGAAATGGTGTATATCAAAGTACAGTCATCTTTATGTTTTTGTACTTTAAAATTCCAGAATCTAATTCCATCAAGAATCATCTTTGCTAATATTTACATGGTAAGGAATTATTAATATTTATTTATATATTTTATAAGAGTAGATATTTAGGTGGAGCACATATAGAGTAAGAAGTGAATGATTATTAAGCAAGATTGGTCAAAATAAGCATAAATTTTTGTTGTTGTAAGATTCTAATAATTAAGCAATCTGGTTTCATATAAAAATAGTTCAATTATGAGATTTCATGCCCACGAAATTAAGTGAATTCACTGTAGTTATAGTGCTTTAGGCTGTTAAACTCACTTAATTTTCTCTTAACTACACTTTTACTCATAAGAACAACTGTTGTCATAAAAATTAACACAAACCTTGAGGCATGCTGCTTTAAAACTGATGAACTTTGACAGGTTTAGCTATTTTTAGAAAATAAATGATATGTCCCAAATTGTTGACATTGACAAATTTTCTCATGCTGCCACTTCATTTATGTTTGAGTAATTTAGTCTTCATTAAATATAGTATGAAGAAAATCTGCTTAATCTGTTCATTCATGATATTTATGTTGTTATTTAAAGCACAAATACTGAAT